ATAGTTTTTTGTTATAACATGAAAATCATTTTGCACTTGGACTGGTAACGAAACAGACTCAGTATTTTCACAAACAAATCTATAATAATAATACTTTATTAAAGAATCAGATTTTTTGTGTACAAAAGACTTGTAATCTTTACTAAAAGTCTACCAAATTTTGTGAAGATACACTTACTGCATTAAAGTTATAGTATAAATACTTAACTCGTGTATATTATACAGAGCCTGTCACAAAAGGGTTAATTTCAATACAAGTCTAGTTTTATTGATTTAACTAATCATTTTCTCAACTTTGATTGTCATAGTGTTATGTAAATTGCTTATATCCCAGCTTTGAGAAGTCATAAGCTAGTGATCTAAAAACAATGAAAGCTCTTTTTCTGTTCTTCAGAAACTATTCATCTCTCTATACAACAGATAGCTAATACCTCACACCACTGCCAAAAACTTTTTAAAAAGTTTCAAGCCTTGCGTGTAATGATGTATATTTTGCTGGTCCATGATTCAACCCCCTCCACCAATAGAAGGGTGACATTTATTTTCTCAGCACTGCAGTATTCAGTTGTGTATTTTTTTCATTAAAAAATAGGAAGTTTTTGTGCTTGTTATTTTCAACTTTTAATTAACATTTGATGTGTTATTTTTATTCACACCATCTATTAACAACATTTCCATCAGGTTTATCATCCTTATTCAATAATTTAAATATACCTTTTTGATATATAATTATCTCAATAGATTCATGTATATTTATGCTAATAAAATTTTCAGGTTGTGCTAAAATAAGTTTTTTCCCATTGAATTATGTTTAGTTTCATTAATATGTTCTGCTAAAGATAAAATAGTAATATTATTGTTTTTAACATTTCTTTTTCGTTCATTCTTTCTGAATTTTAAAATTTCTTCTAGTTTGTCCTATACAAACTTTTCCACATTCACATGATGTTTTATATACACCAAATTTTTCCACTAAATCAATTTTATCTTTAGTTGTATTAAGAATTTGGTTAACTTTGTTTATCGGTTTATATATAAAAAAAATGTTATTTGTTCCTTAAATTTTTTCATTATTTGACAAGATAAGTCAGGTATAAATGATAGTATCAAACATTCTTTCTTACGTTTTCAGCAAGTGGTTTTAACTTAATATTTTTATACCTGAATTTTAGTTTTGACAACTCTGTCAACAAAATCAGGATTAAAACATCTTTCTACTGCTATGTGCTTAATTAATAACTCATTATTGATATCATCCTGTTTACAACATAATTTTGGTATCCTATCCAAATAAGAGCAGTCTCATTTTTAGAATTGTGTAAAGAAATAACCATTGTTTTTAAAAAACTGAGTTTTTTTACATTGAACATTACACAAGTGCCAATGAATTTTAAACAGTCATATATATCTAACATATCTGTACAACCATCTACTGTGGTTTTAACAGTGGCTAGGATTCCAGGTGTTACTTAATGTTGTTATGTCTGTACAACCATCTACTGTGGTTTAAACAGGGGCTAGGTCTTCAGGTGTTGCTTAATGTTGTTATGTCTGTACAACCATTTACTGTGTTTTTAACAGTGGCTAGGATTATAGGTGCTACTTATGTTATTATGTCTGTACAACTATCTACTGTGGTTTTAACAGGGGCTGGGACTCCAGGTGTTGCTTAATGTTGTTATGTCTGTACAACCATCTACTGTGGTTTAAACGGGGCTAGGTCTTCAGGTGTTGCTTAATGTTGTTATGTCTGTACAACCATCTACTGTGGTTTTAACAGGGGCTGGGACTCCAAGTGTTGCTTAATGTTGTTATGTCTGTGGAACTGACTACATTGTGAGACATGCCACTTTATTTTTGCACCACTCTGTGTTAAAACTCAAACTTCATAGTTGGACTTTCCTATGTTCCTTTCCTCTGTGGTAAGATTAGCTGGTTTTTCATTGTGGATTTCCACTTGAAATGTTTGTCAAGTGGATGACCATCAGGTGTTGGTTTCAGACACGTTGGTTCTATTCCTTCAACTTCTAAGGTGACTATTTCAAGGAGCGTGTTCCCAAGGTTACATTGAATTGTGGGCACAGAACATGCATTGTAATGGGGAATGAACCCAAAATGTTGAAATGCAGACACAGATACTGAAACTTTTGATAAAGTTAGAGCTATTTCCAATCCATTTGCAGATATCTATCTTATTAACAGATTCCAAATGAGTCATGGGAGAACAATTAATCTGAAAACAGTATTGGTCCTGAAGCATATTATATCAAAGTGGCCTATTGAAGTATGTGAAAATGTTGTCTCTCGTAAGATAAAATGATTTATTAATATATCAGTACATCAAAAGGGGGAGTAAATTATGCAAGAGCTATATTTTCTTCTTTTACTTATATATCAAATATTATATTACTTTTATAGTTGTATATTTTAGATAATCAAACTTCTCATTTAAAAGAAGTAAGGCAAACATGGCATTCTTCTTTTATCCTGAAGTATGCTTTATTTGAAAACTAAATCTTTAATGTCAAAGACTTAAGTATATAAAGTTTTTCCTGTGCTACTCCTAGTAGTTTTTATCTAAAGAGCAGTACTGCATGCAGTCAATGACAGGATATCTTCATTGATTGTTTTTGTTTTGTTTTCTTTAGCTTTATGGTTAAATAGTATTTAGGAATAACCCAGTTTAATAAATAAATATTCCCGAAGCTCTGCGTTTCTCATATTTTCATTTCTTTTTGGGGTTCTTGACTATATCTCATTGTTTTACATCTATATCTATAAAATTCTCCATGTTAGTTTCTACATCAGTGTCTGAATTTTGATGTAATCCATGCTCTTTACACATGTGCTCACTTTATGATAAATTCAAATGATGTTCTTGGGTTGCTTTACTACCAAGACAGCTAGAGGGAGTGTGGGTAGATCTTGTAAAGGGTTTTACATCATGTCAATGCAGTGTACATTATGTACACAATGTACACCTCCAGAGATATTTACTGTGTTCTGTTTTGAGACATTTCTTGGTTTCATTAAAATTATTTGCTTTTAACCAAGATTTTTTCTGTTCCAAAATGTTGTAAGTATTATTGTTTTATGCATACAATGCTTACATTTTTCCTTACCAATTTTCTTTTTTTGCTACTTACTGATATTTTGGTAATCCACTGTTTTCTCTGTTCAAGTAAACACTGGAATTTCATTTATCCATTATATACAGATATTTCTCTGTTCTGTTAAGCACTGGTATTTTTTTGTCCATTACAATTAAATATATCTCTGCCCCCATTAAACACTGATATTTTGTTTGTTTATTATATACAGATAT